TACAGTGACGATTGCATTGGATCGGGCTCGTGGATGTCCGTAAACACACCAGACGTAAGAGGCTGGTGCACAGATACACAGCTTTCCACGACAGCCTAGACAATGCATAGCTGATCCTGCGGCGGGTCCGCACCTCCGTAGTACGCCGTATACGTTGCATTGAAGCCCTCACTGTGCTTGCCAGTCTGGCACACATTGTCGTTGGTTTTCTTGGTGCAAGTGTACTCGATGCAAGCGTCCGTAGTCGAAATCGGGACTGTGGCGTTGTTGTGGTTGCCCAACTCGTAGACGTAAGATTGCCAGATGTCGAGTGAGTAGTTGGAGGTGCTCTTGAAGCTACTCGGGGTCACACGGGCATAGTACTGGCTCCCGGTGCTGGGACCGCACTTGTTCCAGCATGTTCCCACGCCGCGACCAGGTCTAAAAGGTTAGCACTGGGTAAACATTCTCGCAAGGAGATACTTACAGGGTGAGGTTGCATTGAGCTGGCGCAGGTCCACCGTTGTAGACCGAAGTGCCAGGCGCAGAGACCGTGAAGTTGATCTGGATGGATGGCGGAGTCAGGCGCTGATCGATGCTTAAGGGCCGGACGGAGAAGATTTGAGCGTGGGTGGCGGCTGCGAAGCCTGCAATAGCGGCGAGAATAGTAGAGCTGTGCATTTTTGCCGATAGAAGTCTGTTTGGGGTTGTGAGGGTGGGAAAGTGATGAGAGCATCTAGAGCATATATAGTACCTGACGCGCCTGGGTGATTACACTTTTGCTGCGTAAGCGGTGTGATAATATCCCAGCGCAACATAGCCGATACGGGTTCCTGGTTTCACCAACTGTGGACGCTTGCGCATCTCGTTCTCGATTGAGGGCATAGACCGTAAATTGCCATCGTATTCAGAGCCCAAATTAGGATGTCAACGTAGCTGCAGGCAGTAGGTGACGATTCTGCAAGGTTGCGTCTCGTATGCTGCACCCTATGACATCGTCGTGCAAGGATGGAAGTTAGAAAAACCATCTGAGCCCCAAGATGATCGGCAGGGGCGCCTGGGTACCTGCATACCCGAGTACGATGATACGGGCCGTTGCATGATATGCATGTCGGACCAGAATCCGTATCGAATGTCTTCCGAAGGCAGAGTTATGGTGGTCTAATACGTCCTCGGCAGAAGGGGAGAGTTACGAGTGGAATGTAAGGATTCACTGCTGCGTGAGAGAATTTGTTGGTATAGAGTGCGAAGTGTCGGACAGCATTGGTGTTCGTAGAACCAAGATTGCGGCACATCTACAAGCAGTCGCGTACACCGACAGGATATCGCATTTCCAGCCTTTCCCAGGTAGAGTCAGTAATGCCATGAGCAAGCGAAGAGAATCCTCCAGCTGTTCGTACGGCTCTTGTCAAATTAAGCAAGCTGAAAGTTCGAGTCCATGTACTTAACCACTGCAATACCATAATGTCGCTTCACACTCCCAACTGTGCTTGTCCACGCCTTGTGCTTGTCCACGCCTCGTGCTTGTCCACGCCTCGTGCTTGTCCACGCCTCGTGCTTGTCCACGCCTCGTGCTTGTCCACGCCTCGTGCGACATCTGCCAAGGAATTTTCTTGTCCATGATTCAGTTTGGGCCATTCTTTGATGCCTTGGAGAGGGGTCGTACATTGCGTGCAATATTGTGGGTAGTGGCTGAACACATGGCTGAGCACGTAGTTTTTCTATCTGCCGAAATCACAATGCTGGAGGCCTTGCTGTTAGCTCGCGCGACAGGGCGGCCAGCACTGCGCGGGCAAGCACCTGGCGTTGTGTGTTCGCAAAGGCTGTCAGTGGTATCTGAAGTCGCTCGTTATCGATGATGGTGAGTGCTGTAGCTGCTGAGATGATCCAGTCATTGTCGTATGGTGCATAATTTTTCAATGATAATAGGAGCATGTCAGGTTGCGCAGCAGCTGTGATCTATAAAAGGCTCTGGCTTCCACTGCCGCTCTCGTAAGGATTTCACACAGGAAGCTCGTTGCCAGGCTGCGAATCTAGCGACCCAAGAGGCTGCTTGTACGAATACTGAAACAGTCGTGACTTCATGACAGAGCTGCAGACTGTGGAATTCTTTGCATAAGCAGGACGAGTTTCTGGTATGTGTACTCGAGGCCGCGCTCGAGATTTCCGTGGTAGTGACTTGGAGGAGGTGGATCTTCCGCCAGTCTTGGCGAAAAGCAAGACGCCGCTTCCGCTCCACTCCAACGACAACCAACCCACCTGCCGTGCTCATGCACGCCGAAAGGAAAGCCTCGAGACCGCTTGCCCTCGACCTCGACGTTGGCGGAGGGCGCTTGATAAAGCAACACCAGCCACCATGATAAGCCGTAGGCCAGCCTCTGCGCCAGACAAACGCAGAGATGAGCAGCCACAACACCCCCTCGGCGAGCCCACCCCCTAGCAAAACCGGGAGGATGGAGCAGGCATCTTGCGCGCCACCATGAGCCTAAAGGATAGGCTGAGCACTTCAAGGCCGGACACAGCGATGAGCCACGACGCATGCACAACACCACCCATACCTTGAGCATCTGCGGAAGAGCTCGGACAGATGGACACCGCGGTTGAAGGAAGACGTGCACAAGGAAGAAACAAGGGGGTATTAGACTGGCATGGCCGCCGTTGCTCGGTCGAGGAGACCTCACGAACAGCGTCCACTGCCGCATGGCCAACGCCGCGGTGAGCATCCTTGTGCCCGCGAAGCAGAGGAGCCACGCTGTGATATGTGCAACAGAAGGAAAAGAAAAGTAGAGAAGGCGGACATAGAGCCATTACAATAGAGCGGCTGTGGTCTGGCTTACAGCCTCGGGTACAGAAGTCAATGGTACTTCAACCACCGCCGCGGCGAGCATGTATGAGCCCATGAAGCAATGGAGCCATGCAGTGTACTTGCAAGAGATGATAGAGTGGTACATGCAAAACATGAATAGAGAAGCAAAGAAGGGAGATATTGCCATCATGCTGGAGCCGCTGCCACTGCGTTCCCTGGGCAAGGTTTCAGGCACAAAGGTTGGCAGCCTTCTGGCCACCGCGGTGAGCTCTTACAAGCCCGCGAAGCAACAGAGGCATGATGTAATAGTGCAAGAGTGGAAAGGGAAGCAAAAAAGGAAGATATCGAGGCCTCGTAGTGCTCCAGTGACCAGCGTAACTCGGGGCCACGCCTCATGCAGGAAGTTTGATCGCCTTCTGATCATTGCCACGGAGAGCTTGTACGAGCCCGTGAAGCCATAGATCGCTGCTACGCTGCGTGCAACGATCTTCTCGTACGAGGACGATTATGCCCACCGAGCCACCAGAAGAGCTGCTCAGTCTGGATCGAATTCCGGAATGGGTCTACCAGCCAGATAGCCGCGGTGAGCTTGCCAAAGCCCGCATATATCCAGTATGAGTAGACATGCTGCGATGTTATGGCATCAAAGAAAGAGCAAGGAAAGAAGAATGGAAGATGGTTCCCGGCTGTATACGACCCTGGCTCGCCTGGATCCTGGAATCCCTGGAGACACGACATGAAGCCTGGAAAGTGGAGTGTGATTCTGAGCATACGCACAGATATCCTGGCCGGGATATGCCAAGTTCTCCGCTATGCTGGATTGTCATGGCTATCATGCCGCTCTGGGCAGTTGCTCGCGGCGGATATGGTGATGCTGGGACAGCTGCGTGTCGTGCTCTCGCTCTCCGCCGTGCTTGCGTGGTATGGCCTCTTTGCCGCTCAGTGTCATTGCTTGGTGCTGGTATGGCGACCCGGAGACATATACTGCTGCTTATCGTCCGCAGCACAGCTGGCGCAGTGTCTTCGCCCTGGCTTTGCGAACGCGTGCGGCCTTGAACGGGTGCGCAATGAGACGGAACGGCCAGGCCAGACCGGTGGCGATCTTCTTGCCTACGCCGCGGCATGTTGTTGCGTCTCGCTGTTATCCTGTCAGCACACGCATAGCCTGGGAGCTGCTGTTGCGACAGACGATATTGTCATCCTGCGCCATTGTCACCCTTGGTAGCGCCACGCTCTCATCGCTTCTTCTTGCTGGTAGCGCGCCGGACATCTCATCTGCTGCTCCTCTTTCTGCGCTGTCTATGGTATTGCCAACTCCTCCAGACTCTGTGCGCATGGTCACTGGTGGTTTGCTGTATGGTGGCGGGTACAACGAGTACGTTGATTGAGGACGTTTCAGCTCCTTTTGAGCGTTTGGCGCAGTCATGCTGAATGCGCTGTGTCTCGCTTGATATGGGAGGTGTGGTCTGCGGTCTTGAGACAGATCAGCAAACTGCATGCGCGCCGCTTGTTGCAAGCCGGAGCAAGCTGCAAGGACTTCCGCTGGCGCACAGGCCCTCCATGGCGAGTAGCTTGCGATGCCGCACGTCCAGTACTTGTGGAAGCGTCTCACGATCGCTGTGTATGCATGCGGTATGTCTCAGAGGTCATGGGATTGCGCAGATGTCAAGCTATGCTCTCCTGTCTTGGACACAGCCATTGTCCCTCGCCAGCTGTGTGCACCAGCATGTCGTGCTTGCGGCGCTCAGGCGAGGAGTAGCATCGCAGCACATGATGATGAGCTAGACGGCACGCTTCATTGTGCCACTGCTGCTGGAAAGCTCGAACCTCCGCGGGTGTGGCTTGGCAGTCTACCTCACGACGAGAACATCAAAACTCCAACGCTGTCAGAACATGGCGCAAAGACATGGAGGTTGTAGAGCAAAGTCAGAGCTCCAACCTGGTGCTATCATCATGTCACCACGACCCCGTCGGCGCGAGAACTACCACCCCACCGGGGGTACGCCGGTCGGACATTCCTGGACTATATGATCGGTCGAATTGAATGTGCTGAATGTGTCGTCGTGGCAGTTGGCCGGGCACAAGCACGTTTTCTTTACTGTCATCAATCATTCAAGTTCAGCTGCTAATTCGAATCAACCATTCAGTTGTGCCTTTACACAGCACATCAGCATCAGCAGATGCAAGATCACTGATCTATAAACACTTTTTTCAAGTCAGTGTGGCGCAATTGGTAGCGCGACCGACTTGATCGATCGGAGGGCTCTTGGTTCAAATCCAGGCACTGACATACTTTTTTGGCCTTTTGCTGGAAGATACGATCTCCGCCATACATCAGGAGCGATATGGGCATTGCAAATCTATGCGTGAACAGAGAGCCCATTTGGCATTTTGAAGATTGCTCTCTCACAGGAGATTGAGCTACGCATCTCCGTAAAGCCAAATTACGACCATGGAAGTGTACAGAGTGGAAGATCACCTAAATCATGATATGCGGTGGCGAGAACTGCATAATTCAAACAGAACAGCTAGCGAGCATCTCCCAGCTGCACAACGCTATTCACGTTACGAAGCCGACTGCACTAGCATGGAAGCGAAATGGCGATGCTGGGATAGCAGCAAACAAAAGGACATAGCGAGATTTTCGATCGATTCGTGGTGACCTGTGACATGCTCTCCGCAATGCCGAATGCAGATATGGCGGTGTAGTCTGCGTGATGAGCATGAAAAGTGCGTTGAGCTGGTGGAGATGCTGTCGTTGTTGGTCGAGCTGTACTATGATCCCATCGACGGTACAGGCATATTATGCTCACGAAGCCGATGGCAGAAGCACGACAGCGATTTGGCGGCGCGGAGATGCTGTCTTTTCTGTGCTATGATCCCACAGACGATTATAGGTGTAATATGCTCACGAAGCCGATGGCATGAGCACGAGGGCAATTTAGCGGTGCGGAGATGCTGTCTATGCTGCGTTAATCTCGCCGGCAGTATGATGCTGATATGCTCTCGAGGCTGATGGCGTGAGCACGAGGACGATTTGGCGGTGCGGAGATGCGATCATCTTCTAATTTTGCTCTGCTATGATCTCGCCAGCGATATGGTGATTATATGCCCTCGAAGCCGACGGCACGAGCGTGAGGTCAATATGGCGATCCGGAGATGGTCGCGCAAAATTGCGAAATGTTGGCATCTCCGTGTTGCCGTATTGGGTTTGAGGTGCTGTAGTCGGTGAGGTGGTTGTAAAAGTGCCGTGACACTGGCGAGATGCTGGGCAGTCAATGTTATGATCTCGTGGGTGTTATAAGGCTAAAATGCTTACGAAGCCGACGGCATGAGCGTGAGCACGATACGGCAGTACGGAGATGGTCACTTTGGGTATGATTAAATGCTGTGGAATGTGGGCATCCCGGCGTTGTCAAATAGGTCACGAGGCAGTGCCGGCGGCGTGGTGAGACTGAAAATGAGACGGAAAGGACGGAGATGCTGTCATTGCAGCCGTTAGGCCGCGACGCTCTCGTCGCTACTGCACCCTATGGTGCCAACGAGGCCGAGGGCACCGGCGCCAGGGCGGCGCTGCATCACGGGGATGCTGCTCAGACGTGCGACCATGGGCCGCCCGCCGCCCTGGCGACGCTCTTCGCCAGCTTGTACCCGCCGATCGTCTTGAACGTCGACGAGATGCCGTGGGTCCCGACGGTCCCCATCTCCACAATCTCCCCGTATGGACGCAGCATGCAGAATACCCACTAGGCGGACGGCACGGCCTCTCCGAGGAAGAACGAGATGAGGGTGCGGCGTTGGTTCGACCAGGCGGTGCGGACGGTGCGTCCGGCGATCTTGTGGCCGTGACGGCGGGACGACCCCAGCATCAGATGAGCCGCCATGGCGTCGTCGGCGTCCTGAGGTGTGTCAGTAAGCGTCAAGAGTGAAGTGGAGATGGCAACACTTACGGTGAATTGCAAGATGGCGTATGGCTTGAGCGTCTGGGTGGTCTGGTCGAAGTGGTTGAAGACGGCCCCGTAAACCTCGCCGTACTGGACGAACTTCTCAAGGACAGCGAAAGTGAGTTCGAGCGTCGTGTGTTGGTTGCTCAGGCTGTAGTATGGTCAGCAGTGAAGACGGGTGAGGTGAGGAGAGTAAGGGCAGCTTGACTTACTTGCCGATCATAAGACAGAAGTCGCCAGGGTAATGAAACTGAGCCATCATGAGCTCACGGCGGAACCACTGCTCGTTGATGGGTCGTGGCGCGCGGGTGAACCGTGGAGCCAAGTCGGTGATCCAGACAGTTGGCATTCGAGCGAAGATCGCGGCGAGGATGGGGTCGGCCTGGAGCATAGACTGCGTCGCGGGGGTGGCGGTGTTGGTGTTGTGGGATGTAGCAGTCGCGTGAGTGGTGGCGACAGTCTGATCGGTGGCGGTAGTGACAGACTGGTGAGCAGTAGAGGTCGCAACGACGCCGACAGTGTTGTTGTTGTAGCTCGTGGCGGACTCGTCGAAGTCGGTAGGCGTCTCCCACTCAGCGATGCCGGAGTCGATCTCCTTGGACTTGTAGCCACGAGTCTTGACGAGGAGGTTCTGCTTGCGGACGAGATACCTGGGGTTGGCGATGTTGCCGGGCAGCCAGGGCTCAGCGCTGGTCAAGTCGATGGTGTACTGTATGGCAGCCGCTTCCTCTTTGCACGCGTTGTTGATTCTCTCGCGCGCTTGGTCGATGAGTGGCTGGGTGGCGTCAATCTCATTGCCGATCGAAGTAATACGAGCCGTCGTGTTGGAGACGTTGTTGTTCGCGGGAAGAAGCTTGAAGGGCACAGGGGATTCGTTGCTGGTCGGAGCCTTGCGAGCTGTCTTGATCTTGATGGGTGCGGACGGCATGGCGACGCGACCGGAGCCTGGTGGCGTGAACGAGCGGCTGCGAGCTGAGGCCTGGCCGACCATGGTGAATGATGTAGTGATGAAAGGGTGTTGATGCTGTGATGATATGCGAGCAAGAAGCGATGCTGTCGATGATGGAGCGAAGCTATTCAACACGCTGCCACAGCGAGGTAGATGTGCGTGCGAAGGAAGAGAATGAAAGGGCGGAGAGGATTTTATGCCCGCCGACCACGCTAGCTATCGACTAGTGCCATGGCCGGCTCACCGCTCTTTCTTGCGGCGGCAGGAGCGACCTTCACCACCAGAGCGACGGTGATGGTAAAGCCTCAAAACTCGCTGAGGAGCGAGCCATAGTGTGCGCGATGCTCGTCAGGTCATTATGGTACCCATGAAGTGCAGTACTGTGGTGTTGTGTTGGTGAAGGGGTGAGTTGTACTCTGGGTGCTCCTTCTCTTGCCGCCCACCATAGCGACAATGATGGTAGAGCCTCGAAACTCGCTGAGGAGCGAGCCACGATGTGCGCAATGCTCGGCTGATCATCATAACACCACTGAAGTGCAGTAATGTGGTGTGGTGGTGGTGAAGGCGTGGGTTGTACTATCGGTGTTCCATCTCTCACAGCTCCTCCGCGCGGTCGTGGCAACAAGAAGGCCGACATGCGCACGACACTTCCAGTGTGCAAAGCAGGCCAGTGACGCTGCAATGCTCGGGAAAGCACTGTCGAGGCACTCGCAAATAGTCCTCGCGATTGTTTTGTCTCTGTAAGCTGTTGGAGCAACGCAGCCATGGCCATAGGGGGGCCGACATATGCATAACACTCTCAGCGTACGAAGCAGGCCAGTCACGCTGCGATGCCCATGAAAGCCCGGTCAAGGCGCTCGAAGATAGTCCTCGCGATTTGTTTGTCCCTGTAAACGATTCGAGCAAACTTTCTACCGATCCCAGCGCGAGACCTCCGCCAGCCCGAGCAACGGCGACAGCGATACTGCAACCACCAGACATCACAATGCACTGCCGAGAAAGGCATCTTGATCGCCATACTCTGCAGAACTAGTAGGCATCACTGAAGGGCAATTACCATGGCGTTGTGGCAACAGACGGCACAAAACATACTGCGAGCTTCGAAACACATCTCCGCTTGCGCCCAAAGCAGCACTGAGGGCAAGGCACTGATAACGGCCGACTGTAGAGGACCAGCAACGTGACGAGAGTGCCGCCGTGGTCTTTATAATGCCCAGCAAACGCAGTACATGTCACCTTGCTCTCGAACATGATGGTACTTGACGAGCGCGCTGCGTGCCTGAATAGTCTGATTGAAGGGCTCCGAGAAGTCTGTCCAGCCATGCCGACAATTGTGAAGGCAGCGCCCAAACACAGTATATGTCACTTCGATATTGGAAACAACGGTAAATGAAGACCGCGCTGCGTACTGTAACAGTCTGATGGAAAAGCTACGACGACGCCGACAGTATCCAGGGCAGCACCCAGGCACAGTACGTGCCACTTCGATCGTAGAAAGAGTACATGAAGACCGCACTGCGTGCTCGAACAGTCCGATTGAGAAGCTACGGGAAGTCTGTACAGCCACGCCGACAGTTATCCAAGGCAACGCCCATGCATTTCCAACCACCCACAGGCTGCAGTGTCCATGCGAAGACGATATTCCCTTCGTAGCCATTGCACGAGCTCTTCAAAGGCTGCCGCAATGCCCAGCGTGCTTGTCCTCGTATGATGCCTCCTGTGAGAGCGATTGCGGTACTCTTTCTCAAAAACGTCGACCCGATGTGTCCAGGCCAGCAGCCTTCTCGAGCTTATTATGGTGCCGTCGAAAATTCCTGATGCTCTTACGATGCCTTGGTTGCATCTTCACTGTCCCATGTCCAACGACTTCAAGCATGTCTCCTCACACCCACGAGTACAGTCTCGGCAACGCCGTGATGGCCTCGAGGGCCTGCACTGCGCGACCAGACCCAGTGTCATGCAAGCCGTGAATGAGAGCCGAGGATCTTGTTCCTAGTTCCTCGAGCAGCCTCCGAATGCCATCTCGGTTCTTTGGTTGCCTCTGCGCCGGGCCATGTCCGAAAGACCCCTCGCACTCGCCAACGCAGTCTCGATAACGTCGGTATGACCTCGAGTTCGTCCACCGAGTGATTAGAACCAATGTCATGCTATCGGTGAATGTGGGTCGCTGTATCTCGTTCAGCGAACAGCCTTCCAACGCCATCTCCGCGGTGTCGATTGTGCCTGATGCTCTTGCAATGCCTTCGGTCGGCTCTTGGATATGCTATGCCGGACGGACTCGAACAGTCCTCGCCTCGCATCGACGGACATCTCAGTAAGGCTGCATATGCCTCGAGATCCTGCACCAAGCTGTACCATCGTGAAGCCATGCTTTGTCCTGTGGGATCCTGCTTCTCC